TGCATTCAGTTTTTGTCAGATCTTCCCTTTACCTGCTCAGAAAACAGAAAACATAACAAAAAGTTGTTTGTGAACCCTTCTCATGTTTTCAACTCTTAAGCTAGCTGTACATATTTTCTGTTTCTATAGCGAGCTGCTACGTTATTTAACGTTTTTTGTAAATGCTTGCTTGTGAAGGGAGTGCCACGCGTCAAGCATTCAAAGAAAACCCTCCTGCAGCCTATATTTGAAATTATATGACTTTACGAGCCACTCGACCGTAATGCTGTTTATCTGTGAGCAGCTTGATGTTATCAGTTGATGACTGAACTGTTGACTATATGGCGCTTGAGCTGCCTGAAACACCTGTGAGTGCATTATGTTCCAGAATTTTCCACCTGGTGTAGTATGCAGAGTATGCATGTGGAACAGGGTGACAAAGCAGAGTAAAATTACACAGAACATAATGTGACAGATATGGTATGTTCACATTTACATAACACGCAGACCGCAGATTTTTTTTTCCTTTTTTTTTTCTATCAAAGGAGGACTTCCTGAGTCAGCTGATGGATGATGAAGGGGAAAAAAAGGATGAGGTGAAAGGCAATGAGTCAATACAGAAGCAGGGATTAACACAATGGCTCTACTCTGAGTGAAAAGCAAGAGTAGATGTGTGTCTGCAAACAATCTGTGTATTTTTCCCACTCTTCAAAAAGGCTGCCAAGTGGTGGAGCCTCACTAGCTATCAAAAGCCAAATGAACTCTCTGTTGCATGGCATCACTGCCATCCCCTGCGCTAACTTGTAACCTGACACAATAATGAAAGCATAGCGTGGATCGGGTTTGGCTGTTTTTTTTTTTTTTTTTTCCATTCATCTGTTACCAAGGCTTCAGCTCTGCAAAACAACAGAGGGGAAGGAAGAAGAACAGAGGGAGGAGGAGATAAACAAGTTCAATAGAATCAGAGGAGACGCTGACTGTTGTAAACAGAAACTTGGCACAGCGCAGAAGAGATTACTGCATACCTTGAGTGCACGCTCATGCATCTGCAAACACTAGGAAAAATACCTGAACACACAAGCTGGTTCACTTCTGTTAACTCGCCTGTTTACAGGCACATGTTGTGCATAAATGGAGTTAAAGATCCTCGTTATGTAGCCAATGTGAGCGACTTTAATGAACTTGCAAATGAGTTACTTCACATCAATCACTGCCATCAAGCTCAATCCCAGGTTTGCTTTTCGGTGTATGTATCTGAAAATCACTCTGACAATATCTAATGAAGTTATTTTTTAAATCTTTGTTCAGGATGTTTAATTAACCTTTAACATTTGTCAGTAAAAACAAAAGTCATGCACTGTTCCTTATTGCACAATGACAACATTAATAAAGGAAACCAAACTGACAAGCCTGCAACATGTTTGAGTTGGATTGGATAACATGTTATCCTGATTTTATGCTTAAAAGGATGAGGAAAGCAATTAGTTAAAGCCATTGCTTCGTAAGAGAAATGTGCAGAAATACAACACTGCATTTATTTCCAACTCTGTGTGTAAAATCCTTTGAAATGCAGGAATGTTTTATTGTTAGCACTAAAAAGTTACAACTTTTCTTCGAGTGTTGGAGATTTTGTGTGTGCTGGTAAGATTTACAAAGAACATCATACAACCTTTGTTTCAGTGGCTTTTGACCTTTTATAATAAGTGATCAATTAAATTATTTGGCATTAATTATTAATATTTTTTATTTCCTTGACTGCAGATATGTGAAACTTGTCAGTTTTTTGTATCCTTTTCTTGACTTAACACATCTGCTTTGTGCACATGTCATCTTCTCTTATTTTTTCCATTTTGGACATTTAATAAGATAATAAAAAATACTCAAACTCAAGGTTGGATATTTCAGAAATGTTTTCAAAGTGATGCTAGTTTATTAAAAGTAAATGTATGTATTTATTTTTTCTTTTTGCATATTTTTGCTTTGGGAGACAATAAAGGTGCCAAGATTTTCAGTGTAAGAGTGTTTGATTGTAAAATAAATACAGGTAAACTTTAAGATTTTAGTTACACATGTTTGACATGAGGAGTGATAAAAGTGAAGCACTATGTCATTTAAATGTTAAGATTCTGGCTGATATTTTCCAGACACATTGATCTCACTTGAAAAGCACGTTTTCTAGTCTGTCCCGTTTCAAAAGCTGCCTAAAATAAATGGGCCTCCATGTCACGTCACATTTAAATCGACTTCCAAACAAGACGTCATGGTTTACTGTGTCTTGGATTATCTGTTTAACTTACACATGACTGAAAGATGAAGGTAATTCAGAAAGGTGTTTTTTATGGGAATAGTTAGGTATTTCAGTTTTGCGTAACTAACAATGTGTTAGTTACTGAATTTACTTAAATAAAGGTTGAATTTTTCAAAACTGTTCCTGTGTCAGAGCATGGAAGAACGATGTAACTAGTCATTAATAAAAAGTTCCTTTACAGTTCAGTTTTAAAAGTATAAATAAAACAAACACTTCAGTTACATTTATGTGAGACACTATTACAGTCATTATTGTTGAAGTAGTGATTTTATTAAAAACTAAATAATGGATATATGGATAATTTTTTTTTTTTTGTGGGATTCCCCCCCCCCCCATCTACTGACATTTAAACTTGTATTTAACTTTCTAAAACTTCTTTCTAAAACCAATACAGTATCATGCTACTGCAAGAAACGCTCATCTTTATGCAGTGAATGTGGCGGGTTGATGTAAAACAAAAATGAATATTGAAAATTTGTGTTAAGATTTGTGGTAAAAACAAAGGCTAAAAAATCAATGAATCCTAAAACATTTTGGAGTTAACATTTGAAATTTAAATAACATTGCCAAACTTGTCAAATAAAAGGAGAAAATTAAATAACCAGCTAAAAAAACCCCAGAAAAATCATGTGAACATTTTGTGCTTTAGCCTCCAGGCCTTCACTAGCGAGGTGAGCTAACGCTGCCCTTCTTCACCAGAAACATCTTTTGTTCGTTACATAAACTTTGGGCAATTCTGGTTCGATTATTTAGTAAAGTTTCATTCCTACTGAATGAAAAAGCTTCCCGGATCAAATATTAGAAACTAATACCTTTTCTTTCATCTGTTGCTTTCATGAAATCTTTTGAGAGTTTGACGTTTACCAGAGGCTCTGTCACCTGAGCAATCGATGACCTCATGTTCACATTGTTGTCTTCACAATCAGAGACACTTTAGTCACTAACAGCCAGGTGGCAACAAGAACACAAGGTCAAAGTTCACACACACAGATTCAAATCTCAACATGCCTTCGCCTATACACTCAAGAAGCAACATATTTACTCAAGCACTGCACTCCTCTAAAGTGTGCACTGGGATTGTTTAAATCTTTTCCTCTCAGGTAAAGAAAGCTCTGTCAGCCTGGAGCAAAGGGAAGCATTTACTCAGAGCCGGCCCAAGGTAGAAGTGAACTAAGCCGGTGCTTAGGGCTCTCAAACTATCGGGAGTCTTCCCATTGAACCATAGGATAACATTTTTTAGATTTGCTAGTGAAAACAAGAGTAATTTTCAGTTTGCTTTAAATATTTCAGATTAGATTAATTAACCAATTTTAAAGTGTTTAAAAGTAATATTTAAGGGAATTAGCAAGTTTTCGTTGTATAAAGTGGTACTTTTGTGATGCATCTCAGCAAGCAATAACCAAATCATTCATGATTGTTTTTTAAACTCAGCCAGTTAGATTCCGCCCCTTTCCCAGATTTCACCAAACCTGTATATAAACACTGTTAGCACTGATGTTTTTAGCCCCCAAAGCTAATTCTGCCTAAGGCCCTGTAAAAGCTTGGACTGGCCCTGTCTTTAATCTGCTACTGGAAACCCCAAATTAACACACAATCAGTTAGTCAACATTTTACCCAGCAACAAGTGAAGCAGCATATTTGTATTTTGATGTTAATCTATGTTTATGTTAAAAAATTTGACATTTTGTATAGAAAATTACTACATACTAATACTTACAATACTATATTTACATCATAAAATAAACAAATACATAATTACACACAGCACTATTTTGTATCCAAATATAAGAAATAATCAAATTGCAGCTTTTCTTTATTGATCATTTGATTATTTTATTTGTAGCATCTCTAAAAATAGTTAAACAATGATTTCCACATAAAAATCAAAATGAGTTTTAGTTTTAAATTTGCTGTCTTTTAATAAAAAATAATAATAATAAAAAAAAACACAACACAACCTACTTTCACCAGAAGTCACTTTTAGTGAACAGAGTCCATCTATGTCTGACTTAATCTGAGAATAAATCCAGTTTCTCTGTGAAGCCCTCAGAGATTAAGTAGAAGACTTTAATGAACAGCAGACATGTGAGAGAGAAAGTTTTGGAGAAGTTGAAAGAGAAGTTATGTTATAAAATAAAATCCCAAACTTTGGATATCTTACACAGTTTAATCTATTAGCCAAGTAACCACTGGCAACTCTGGAGAAGCTGCAGAGATGCTCTGCTCAGGTGTAGATAGATAGATAGATAGATAGATAGATAGATAGATAGATAGATAGATAGATAGATTTTCTCTCTTTTACTTGACTAGCAAGCCTGAATAGTTTCTCTACTATTGATTGAAACAAAACAAAGGTGTTTTCAACATTTCTTAGATAACCTTTCCACAATCTGGGGCACATACTTTGGCCTGACTGTGACTCCCGTGGTGGTTAAAAAGGTTGGGCTCTGTCGCAAAACCTTGAAACAATTGAGACAAACATGATAAAGCACACAGAGTCGTGGGAGAGGTGCAGGTGACTCACAGCAAACAAGTTTCCCTTTTTGGGAAAGGGTTTTTTTTTTTTTTTTTTTTTTGAAAAGCAGGTGTCCTCCCACCGCGATTGAAGCTCTGTCTGCTGTGGGAGTAGGGCTATCGCAGAGTAAATGTTTTAGCTTATTAATTAGGAACATAGTGTGTGGATGCCTATGTGTGTGTGTGTGTGTGTACCCACCTCCATCCGTGTCAGCGCAGCAGAGCTGGAGAGCGCACAGCAGCAGGACGCAGAGCACCTGCTGCACCTTCCTCATGAGAGCAGTCATCCTCATTCAAATATCCAGGCTCATGAATTTCAAACAAACATCACAAAATCATCTAGAATGGGGGAAAAATATTCCTCTGTCATCCAAAGCTGTCCTGCGGGATTTCAACCCGAGACTGTCCATTTAGATCAATAAATTCCTCTTCGACTAATTCCAGTTGGCGTTTCCTCTTCTTTACTCCTCCTCGCTTCCAGGAGAGGTAAGGTTCAAAATCGAGCCCGTGTTTTCAGCTCGGCTTTGAGCTGTGAGCTGGAACTTTACGAGCCGTCTACTCCGGTCTGACCTGGAGGAATCACTACGACTCAGTGACAGCAGCCAATCAGCGGCGGGAGCGGCGCTTTCTGCGGCACTGATTTATGTGGGCGGGGCTTGTGCGCCTACCTGTAACCCGGACTACAATCTCAGACTACCTGACGCTTCTTTTTAGCCGCACTAAATGTTTTAGATAATCAAACAATTTTCAAAAAGCAGATTTCAGATGATTATTTATGAGGAGTTAATTAACAACTAAAATATTAAGTGTTCAAATAGTTTCTCTGCTATCAGGCTATTCTTTTATTTTTATTTCCTCCAGATCTAATTTTCAAGAAGGACCTGGGCAGAAATCTGCATCACACAACAACCTGGCATGTAAAACATGTTCAATGTTTTTATTTTTAAGTCGTTTGAGTATTTCCTTTTCTTCTTCTGATCAATATGGAGGTTTTGTTGCATTACATTTGGATACATACAGACAAATTCAAGCATTTAGTGTATCATTGAACTTTTAGAGTATCATTAACTTCATCAGGAAGTGAAATATTATGTAAATTAATCACACGCAGACTGATGTTTTGAAGCTTTTATTTCTGCTAATTATTATAATTTTCCACTTACAACTAATGATAAGATGATCTTTAAGATTAGAGCAAAAAAAACAAAAAAACAAAAAAAAAACACTTGAACTTAGACTTAAAGTATTTTAAATACAGAAAAAAGGCTTGTTCAGAAATGGTGCTTTTATTCTGACAAGCATCATCAGATACATATTCCAAAGTACTGAATATGGCTGTGTGTTATGTTTATGTATGATTCATTAATAGTTTGGTTTGAGAATGCACGTTTGAAAATGAAAGAGTTTTTCACACCAACCTCGACCTGTGGGTCCAGGGTTTAAGGTCCCATTAAGCCTAATAGATTTAATTGTCCTATGATATTTAATAACTACTTCTTCCACTCTTGGCGGCAGCAACTGCTTTCAAGTGTTTGCAATAACTGTATTGTAAAAAAAAAAAAAAAAGTCTCTAGTTTACGGTAAAATACAGGCAACTGTGGTTGCCAGAATTTTACCATATAAATACAGTAAAAAATTGTATTTACACGGTAAAATTCTGGCAACCACAGCTGCCGGTATTTTATCGTAAATTACAGACGGTTTTGTTGTTGTTGTTGTTGTTTTTTACCGTGTGGAGAATCTCTGACTGAATTGGTCTCTTCCTCTTCAGTCTTCAGCTTCTTTAGGGACATGATGTTTTTTAAAATCTCTTCAGCCTCCTTCATGTTGGCAGACAGTTTTTATTTAGATGCTCAGTCAGTGATCATGCCTGAGACTAAGTAGTAAAACTGAATCATAATTGGAGAAATCATTTATCAAAGATTAATAATAATAATAATAATAATAATAATAATAATAATAATAATAATAATAATAATCCATGGTTTAAAAATCTGGTACTTTTTCACACAAGGTTGGGTTGGATTGATTTTATACATTTAATACACAGAATCATGATTGTTTTGGTTTAAAAAAACTAATATTTGTTTACTGATCTGAAATATTCACATGTGATTAATAAACAACAAACAGAGGAACTCTGTAAAGAATAAATACTTTTTACAGTACTACAGAGCTGCATTTCTTTTTCTTGCAGCATGGTTCAAAATGACATTTGCTACATAAGTAAACTGGAGTTTTAAAAATATTTCTGTACTTTTTGTCACTTCTCAGTTAAACACTGGCCACAGAAAGTCAGAAACAGTAAAGACTTTGAGAAAAAAGCCGTTAGCTGCTATCTGAGTCTGGTTCATCGTTGTTCAACATGAAACTGACCGAAAACATTTTGTAAAATACGTAGTTTTCTGTGTTTTTTTCTTGTCACAGGTTGTTTTTATATTTTTACCATGCAGTGTGAAGAAGCTGATTGTGACAAAACAAAAAGAAAAAAAATGACAGAGTGACTGAGTTTATTAAAGCAGGGTTTCATCTGGTTTACAGGTAGATAGGTTGCATTAATGAAGTAGAAGCTTGTATTTGACCTCCGACCTTTTGGATTCTTTGCTAGGGTGGGTCGCTTCCAGTTGCTTTACCTCCAGTAGTCCAAAGTGAACGCTGCTGACTAACCAGCACAAAACGACGAATTGAATCTCATGAAAAATCTGTAGCAAACTGAAGATAAAACATTGGAATCTGAGAGATTTGCAAAAGAGGAATCCGCTGGGATTCCCCAGGAGACAAGAAGGGGAAAACAAAAAAAAAATAAATCAGGAGGTACGTTTGATCAGCTAGCTGTAGATTTTTGAGGAGGATTGTAAAGTAAAATCATATGATTTTGTCCTCAACTGCAAATCTAATGGATAATCTGCGGCAGAAATTTCACTTGATGCGCTCTCTCAGTCAGACTGAGCTGCAGAACCGATGGTGTCAGAACCAGCCTCATAAGGTTCTAACAAAGGGGAGAAGATGTGTTGATTTTAGCAGACAAAGTTCTTATTCATGTTTTGTACATGAATAAGTAAATAGACAAAAGACAATAAACAGCATCAGCAAGTCAGGAGTGCAGAGAGTGAAAGTAAGACTGTACAGGTGTTGCATGGTAAATTAACAAAATATATTATCAGAATTACGCATAAAAAGTTTTTATATTTAAGTGGAAATAGCTAGCTATGATAAAAACTGCTCATTATACATTGCGTCCAAGAGAAACAGACGACATTCACACTGCAGCATGAAGTGATCTAAATCCTTTTTAATTTTTTTGGCTTTATGAGATTTGTATTTGATCTTTTTGAACGACACAGATCCAGTTTTTTCAAACGCGACCCAGGCCACTTGGATATGTCGTCCTAAATCTGATGCGTATCTAATCTTTTCAGATGTGACCCGTGTCAAAATCTCCATGAAGTTTCATCAGTATATTTTATTGATGTGCCAATTTGTAACAAGAAAACTGAAAAATGACAAGGCTGCAGCTGTTAATGGTCAGCAATGTGATCTGTAGTTCTTCACTAGAGTGGGTCTCTTATAAACCAACTTGTCCATCGTGACAAATTGCTCCAACACATCTAGACTCATCCATGGGATTCAGATCTGTGCTCTGTTAAGGCTTTTTGCCCAAAGTGAGGCTTGCAGCAGATTTCTTTAAGTTATTCTTCTAACACCAACATGCTGCTCTTCTTTCATGATCCCATGAACCCAAACGAGGTTCACGGCGCCTGAAGCAGCAAAACAGCCCCATAACCTGATGCTCCCACCAGCATGTTTAACAGTGGGAACTGTGTTTTTTAGGGCTGAAGGCCTCTCCCTTCCTACTCCAAACAAAAGCAACATCCCTGAACCCCTAGAGCTCAAGTTTATTTTCATCAAACCGAAGAACAAACTTCCAAAACGAAGCGCCAAGTTTCAAGTCTTCAAGGGCATTGATGCGCCGTTGTTCAGGAGTTTGTTAGAGCTTTCATAAAAGTCTCAACTCCAGAAGAGGCGAGCTCATCAACAATCAGACGCTGTGGTGGCGCAGGGGCAAAGCACAACCCATGTATTGAGGCCTTGGTCCTCATGCTGGTGGTCACAGGTTTGATTCCCGGCCTGGTGACATTTGCCACATGTCTTCCCCCTCTTTCTTATCAAACTACTTTCAAATAAAGGCCACTAGAGCCAACAAAACCTTTAAAAAAACAATCAGACCCTGGGATCCTTGTGGATGTTTCTGGCTATTTTTTTCTCCAAAGTGTTTTGAAATACTGCGCTTACAGCCAACAACATAATTTGTCTCCTGATTCTTTGCAGTGATTCATCATACAGCTGCTCTACACACCATGAAATATTTGGGAATGACAATTTTTTTTTTTGGTATAATGAATTTGCTTCTTACCAAAAGTGTCAGAGTAGTCCAAGTGTTCACCTGAGGAATCAACGCTGATTGATGTAAAGAAAGGTCAGGAGGGGTAAAAATTTTGGCCTTGTCATTTTTCAGTTTTCTTGTTAAAATTCGGCACATCAATAAAATATGCTGATCAAACTTTATGGATATTTTGTATTTGTATTTTATTTTATTATTTGGAAGCAACACAATCAGAAACAGTATTTGTTACAGTTTCATGTGCTTTCACACTAATAAAATAATAATTTTGACAACTAAACTGAGCTGAAAAATCAGAACTAAAACCCTTGCTCCTCACAGAGGCAAACCTCACAGGAAACAGGCAGCTTTAAACAGACTGGAACAACGAGATCAGACTCCGATGTTTCCATTCAACCGAGACAATCCCAGTCCAGAGCCTCACACGGCACAGAGAGGTCTCAACGCAGAGGATACTTTGCTAAGATAATTATATTAAAAGATGGTGGAGGACACAGATGTACGACACACTTTTCAGATTTTTTTGGTGACAAAAACAGAACATCATAAAACCATAAAAAAAAAAATAAATAAAACCCGAGTCTGACTAGAAATCTGTTGGACTAACAATGTCTTGGGGAAAGATATGAAAATGTTCAGAATGTGTTGAGGTGAAAACTCCAGCAGCTCTTTAACTTTATTGATAGTCCAACGTGTTTCAGGATTAATATGTTCAAGGTGTAAATATCTCTGCAAAACACTTTGCATTTATTCCAAATGTCTTTTCTGATGAAAAATATGAACTTCTCTATTACGCCTTGTAAAATGTCAGTCAAAGTTGTTTTGATCCCTTGTTTTTCTTCTTGTTCCTTCATGTAAAATTAGCTTTATCACCTCAATCAGACAGGGTGAGTCAGCGTCTCACTCGTCACCTAAAAACATTCGTACTGTCCACTGCAACAAACAACAACAACGACTAAGATAGCTTTAAATGCTCCTCTTTACCTGTTACTCATTGTTTGCTGGCACGAATCTCCTCCTTGGCCTCCCATGGAGACTTTGACCCCCTGCCACTCCTTTCTGCTGAAGTTCTTGAGGTGTAAGATCTCTTTATTGCTGCATCACAGTATTGCTGCTGCACCAATTTACTGCTGGACTTGGGACTATGGGTTGTGCAAAACAAGAGCAGCAGATTGTTTAATTTGCTTGTAAGAAACATTTC